GAGAGACAAGTAAGGTTACAGTCGAGGTTGCCTCATTCTTTAGACTTGTCCACGGGAGAAATCCTAAGTAGTTTGTGCCTGGTTACCCAAGCAGTGGATTTTCCTCTCTATGGTGCGAGACAGAATATGCAGTTGCAGCAAGAGGGCTACCAGCGCACCAGTGCAGGAACCACAGGACAAGCTTTAGTTAATGTGCTTGTTTGTCCAACAATGGTTCTGTTCACATGAGGAGCCAACGGTCAAAATAATCTTTAAAGGTTTCAAAGGAAAAAGTCAGGATTCAAAAAGCCCCTCAAAAATTGTTGTGCTTTATCAGGACCTCACTGATCAATTAGCTTGAAAAATTAATAATTCAAAGACAAATGTAATTAAAATTCAGCATCTTAATAAACTATTGTTGTCACAGCCCAGTCTGGACATACAGCTCTTCTGTTGACATTTTTAATGCTTTCTGTGGATTACCAGTACATGACCAGTATGTGAAAGCTTGTTAAGCCTCCATGTGCTCAGCCTGGCCCTGGCTTTAAAGCTGGCTCAGGGCAATCCCTGCTGCTGGCACCAGCTCTGCGGGACTTGAACCTTGCAGTGCTGGGCATTGTGTTTCTCGCTAATCATTGTATGGACTTACTCAAGTGTGTTTTACAAGCTTAGGGCAAATTTGTGGCTGTCCAATTATCTATATGTAACTTTTTTAAGAGGAGCCAACCAGGCTTGTTTTTTTTTTAATTCCTCAGGATCCTGCAGTATCTTTCTGTAACTGGTGGAGGGATGCTTTCAGCCAGGCTTCCAGGTCTGGCTGGTATTTAGCAGAGAAGTCCTTTCAAGCTGCACAACTCTTGCATTGCTTTCTCCTTGTCTCCAACAGTGAATTCAAAGTTCAGAATGTTTTTAAATGCCTCAGTCTTATTCCCATTTGGGTAAAATCTGTTACAGCAGCTTCCAGTCAAATGCAAATTAAAATATTATGTTTAAAGTTCTTCACTTATTCACAGACCTTTCAGTCATGCAGTGCCGCTTTAATTTTGAGCTAGTTTTGCAGATTGCTATAAGTGTGGGGTGAAGTTGTTGGTAGCATATCTGTCTCTCTCTTCCTTTCATTTAGAGGAATGAAACAGATTATGTATGGGAAGCTCACTTTATATTTTGCTTTTGTTGGTTTTCCTTTTCAGTCATTGGCAGTTGCAGCTCTGTGGCCCTTAAATGAAACAAAGTGATTTTCCTTCCACAAAAAATGCCGCTTGTGTTGCATCACACGGAGGTGTTGTAGAGTAAATGCCCGCAGCATGCATGTGCAGTTTTATCCCATCTTATTTTTAAATGGTTAACTGTGCATACCTCTGGTTCACAATCCTATTCCAAAAATACCTGGGGTTTATCCTTATCATATTGCCCAGCTAACCGTAAGAAATAAGCTCAGGTGGCTCAGTACGGATTAGATTCGCCTCTTACACAACAGGGTACAAGATCCAGGGAGAAGCCAGAGACCTGCCTCGGGAAGAGCTCTGTCCTCAGCGGGCCAGGGAATCCCTTGGCAACAGCACTTGCATATTCTGAGAGTGCCAGGATGCTTCCCACTGACTTCACTGGACGAATGCTGCACTGGAAGGGCATTGATTTGTTTAAAAAGGCCAGGATAAATAAGGTCTAGAGGTTTCTGATGCTTATCTTAAATTATTCAAAGTTTAATTACAAGTTTTTGTAACCATAATTCATTTCTTTTTTGTTTGATTCCTTTTAAGCTTACCAGCTCTGGCACACTTGGTAAACAGGATAAGCATCTACGCTTGTTTCTTCCAGATGTGGCTGAACAGATCCAGACCATGGGAAAAGCAACCTTGCCACCTCCGCAGAGGGACATTTTGCCCATTTATGGGATTTTCTGCCATGTAGACAAGGTTTGCTGAGCCTTCTGCTGTTTTCGCCAGTTGTTTTTCCCTCAGCCTCAGCAGACGTCTCTTCCCCTTCTCCACCATTCCCTCCTTTTGCCCTCATTCCCCAAAATCCAATACCTTCCCTGTCCCACACCTGCAGATCAGGTTAGATGGATGTTTTGTCAGACACCATATGTCTGTTCTTGTGTCCTCAGCTGTCCTCCTCCTCCTCCTCAGTTGTCCCCGTTCACCTTTGGTCATCGAGTTCTTGCACCAGCAAATGTTTTGCCCCTTTACTGGCAACACTAGGAGTTCAGGTGTTTGGTAAACAGCTATATCACAGCCCCCAGCAAGGAATTTGGATTCCACTTGTTAGCTTGTGAGTCTTCAGTCAAAGACATACCCCGGTGCAAAAACTTTTTTGGGTCTTCTCATGGCTGTGGTGCACCACGTGAATTAAATTAATAGCTTATTAATTGTGGTTAGCAGTGAGGAAAAATTTGAGCCTAGTTTCTAGATATTTTATGTAATTTGGGAACAAAAACTGATTCATAGAATCAGCAACAGCTTGGTTTCCTGCTCCCACCACAGACTGGACTCTTGCTAGGTCAGTAGGGAGCCGGAGGGAGATTGCATGTGAAATCGTCTGATGTGGCTCTGCAAGCAGTTCCTAGGTTGGACATGGTGGAGAGTGTCTTCCTCAAGTCTAAAATTACTGCCTGCTGTTCTTCAGCAGGTTGCATGCAGTTGAGCTTTGTCGTACGCTTCCTTGGCAGGTATTACCACACCTGTTTTGTAGCTAGATAAACCAAGACATTTGTCCAAAATAACTCACAGACAGCTAGCGAAGTCACCCAATATGTGCAGTCCTTTTCTTGAAGCCACGTTAAGATGTCCTGCAAAACCCTGGGCATTCATGGTGCTCGACTACCCTGTCAGATCTGGGCAAAATGAAGCCGCAAACTCCCTTTCATGAACAGGGAAAAATTCATTCCCAGAGCAGGACCTCAGATGACATATATTATATTTGCCCTCGTGAGCCCTATTTTTCTGTCTGGAAGTGATGTGAGCACCTTTTGTCAGCTCTCTTCACAGAGTGACTCATCCCCAGAGCATCGTGTGCCTTGTAAAGAAAGGTAGGTGTTCAGAGCCTGCCTGCTCAAAACCTAACCTGCAGCGCAGTGGATGCCAGCTGGTAACCAGCTCTTCAGTCTCACTTCAGTTTCCACATCCCCACCGCCCCTCAACGTGAGGAAACACCAAATATTTGTTCTAATGTTAAACCCCAGCTATGATTTTAAAATTTCTCTAGATCATGCCTATAATTAGGAAAACAATGACTCGATCCGAAAGTGCCTCTTCTCATAAGACTCTGAATATCCAAAGGTGAAAGAGAGGGTGGGTTAGATTTGTTATAGCTTTTTTTTTTTTTTTTTGCTCAACTATTCAGTGTTGCTCTTCATTATTTTTTTTTTCATCCTTTTGAAAGCTTGAAAGCCTCCCTGCATAACCGCCTCTGCTCCATTCACTGCTGAATGGACGGTGCGCTGATCTTTTTCTCGGCGGGTAATGGATTTGGTTTGATTGCTTGACACGGGAACAATAGGGGGATAAACAATGGCGTTCGCGCCCGTGCGGCTCCCCATCTGTTGCGTGTGTGCGCCTTCAGAGGGAGCCCGGCAGGGACAGATGAACACGCCAGCCGAGCCTGATGTTAATGACATCGGTCATACAAGCAGAACATGTGGAGCAATAAATCAAAAACTAATTGAACTTTTTGCTCGATTATGTCACCATCCCACCGCCCGTTTCAGACACGGCCCAGTTTCCCGGGACAATGCCCCCAGCCCCGCAATGGCTTTGCTGCCCCTGGACAGCAGGAGGCTGCCCTGGGAGGTGACGAGGTGACTGCTTCTCTTCACTCGGTGCTTTCTTGAAACAGTGACACCTTCCACTCAGCCAACATTCTTTCAAGCTTGGGATGTGTATTTGACCAATATTCATTATTTCAAAGGAGACACATTACGTGAATATGACAGTGACAGCCTATGTTTGCTGGCACTTTCCATATGGGACTGTTGGTGGCAGACATCTGTAGGACAAGACAGTACTAGTTTTTGTGTTAATTACACACACGTGCTAGTAATGAAGGCTATTCATCAGACTGACACAATTTAATATCATTATTCACACTTGAGAGTGTTCCTGCTACATAAGTTGCTGGAGCCTGCAAGCCAAAATTTTCAAACTCAGGTATCCATGGCAGCAGAAAGTCACCAGAAGTTGAGGGGACAGATTTTCATAGATGTGGAAAGGAACAATTTCTGATGGGAGCACTAAAGAATGAAAATCTTTGGCAAGAAGATCCTTTACTGAAGTGCATAAATATGGAATTAGACCCCAGAACCATTGAGTCATGTAGGAACCCATCTCTGACTGAGCTACCTGCCCTCCCTCTGCAACCACTGAAGTGTAGGGGCATACAGACCTATAAAGGTCCCTTCCAACCCAAACCATGCTACGATTCTGTGATAGACCTATGTATATCTACCTGATGTGCCCTTCTGTAGTCATCTACGTTTGAAATTTTACATTGAAGTGCCCAGGATTCAGTTACTAGTTTATGAACTTCAAAGGTAAAGCACAAAATGCTTTTCTTAATACAACTAGTCAGCTCTTCATGATATGGGAGGAGCAAATGTTTGCGATAAATGTCTTAAAGTACACAAAGTATTAACCCAACTTATTACAAAAATCCTTGCAGTATGTCTGTAAACGTTTATTTGCCTATACGTTGGCTGCACAGAATAGACTTTAATTATAAGCCGTTTATTGCAGAGAATTCTCCAAACCGGTAAAAGGAGACGTAAAATAAAACACTCCTATCTGAGTGGAGGCTTAAGTAACAGCTAAATTAAATCTTTGCATTAATAGTATTCACAGAAAGGCAGATGGGAGCAGAAAATGTTGCAACGAAGAATATGGAATGAGATGAGATCATAGCATCAGTCTGTCCTTTGTAGATCTGGACAATGATCACAGAGCCAGATTGGATTAGTGAAACCTATTTACCAGAAGTTCAGAGCGGTTGCATGAAGCTGAGAGGCAGTCAGGAGGGAGAGGTGGAAAATGCACCAGATTTACAGCTGCAGCGATGAAAATTTAGAAGTTTTCACTACTGTGATTTCATCCAAATGTGAGTACATCAAAACTGTAACAACCGCTGCGGCGTTGTCTGTGAGACGGTCGGGGTGTTTCGCGTCAGGGAAATCTCCGAGGCGAGCAGCTCGTCCGTTCTGCCGCGCCGCGCCGTGCTCCGTTTGCAGCCCAGCGCTCGCTGCTGGTTTCTGGAGCTAATCCGTGCAGGTGCTTCGACACTGTGGCTGTGGAAAATCTTTGCACCGGCAAAATTGGGAGGTCTGGAATCGGTGTTGATGTACCTATGAGGTAATTGCGAAAGTGACAGCTTGCAACTGTGTGGCTATTCTGTGTGATAGAAAAGAAAATGAAGTTCTGCGAGCAGTTAGCAGCTCGGATGAACTGGGTGAACTGCATGAATGTTGATTTTAAGTCTGCTGGCTCAGTAAGTGGAACATTTCCAAAGCCATGCCCTGGAAATGAATGCATGATTAACAGTAATTGCTTGTAATGAAGAGTAAGAACCGGACAAAGCCCGGTCTGCATTTGATTGAACAAATTAGTTTAAACTCAATGGCTGCATATTTCAGCAACAAGAAAGCAGGCAAAAGCAGGGAAAACAAATTGCAGGGCCAGATCTGATCCGTACTTGCAAGCTGCGAGCATGAGCTCTCAGCTGCTTAATTTCAGAATATAAGTGGAAATGACAAAGTGAACTGTCACGGTAATTGGTTTTGTTGCCCAAAAGCTGGGCTGTACATCCAAACACCCTTTTGCAGGCAAATCCAGAAACATCGTCTGCAAAGATTCGTTCTTGCCTTCCTGCTCCCACTCCCTGCGGAAAATCATGTTTGCAGGGAGAGCCCCGCAGCCCCGCTGTTTGCATCGCTGCCATTGTGTTCCTGCGCAAGTGGCTCGCTTCTGGCTACTCCGTGACTCACTCTGCTTTCAATGGCCATTGAAGTAATTGCATGTTTGCTGGTGCTGTGACTTCCCTTTCATGCCTTGCCTTTCTTCAGCCCCTGTGAGCCATTCGCCACTCGCTCTGGCAGACGGCAGGCAGTGCCTCGGACTGTGGATCACACGTCCTCGGGAAACACGCAGATTTATTACTGTCAGGCACATTTATGTGTTGTTCCTTGTGCACCAGCCTGGGTACCAGTAACAGCACAACTGTATTTGCTCCTGGTAGAAATCTATATAAACAGTGCTCCTCACACTGTCCAGTAAACATATATAAAATATCAGAGAGACAAGAAGATCATTCCTTGCACCACAAAACCTTTCTCCACTTGAGTATTTTGCTTGTGAGCAATTAGTTTAGTCCTCACACGGTGAAATTCCAGAAGTAAACATGATTTCAGCAGCTTCAAAAACAAGTTACAACATGTTCCTAGGGAAAAAATCCACCTTCATTATGTTTGTCTGGTTTGCATCCCACACTCACCATGGTTTAAAATCTAAAATGTGTCCTGCAGGAGAAGGCAGCAGGGATCCCTGAGGATATCAGGCCATGCGAATCAGACCGTAATCAAACTGACAGCTTAGCACATTCTCAAGCCCTGTACAGGCAGACAGCTCTGTTATGATGAGTTTGGTGTGGAAGGGTCGCTGGCAGGGACTGGACCAGACTGATCCCTCCCCGTATCACTGTCCCGTTTCACGGCGGGCAGAACACTGGCCAAAACTTTATTTCTGTTCAGTGGTGTCCAAATGCTCAGCACTTACTCCCTCGCTGGGGTACCAAGGGGTGGCTTTTAGGCAAACACAAGCTGTCTAAGAAGAGTGACTTCGGTCCTGCTGCCAGCTCTGCTTGTACCAGAGCCCCGGAAAGCCCGGCCGCTTGTTATTCCTGCTATCAGAGGAGGAGAGTTTGGCTGCAGTGACGAGCAGCCTTGCATGACCTCTAGCTGATTCCACAGCTTCAAGACTCTTTGCAAACATTACTACATAGCAGCAATAAGCACTGCAAATCCGAGAGTTGAATGTATGCCAAAAGTGTAAAGGAAAGCTCACCTGGAGAGTAGGAGTCACCCACCATCCCACAACAACCTTCCTGGCTCTGCAAAGCCTTTGCATTATACATGGATAGCCTGCATAGGAACCCCCCATTCACGTGCCTTGCCCTCAGGGTCAGCCTTTAGAATTGGAGTTAATTATCTGAATTTGGCAGGTTTTTGCAGGCCTGTTTCTGTCACTGGCTGCTGAGTCCTGTAGCTTCTGTAGCCTGAACACAGGGGAGGGCAGTAATTCTGAAGACGAAAGGGTAAGATACGATGAGAGGGAGAGCTGGGAGCATCACAATCTTTCAGGCCAGTTTTAAGTCAAGCTGAAACAACAAGTGCTTGAAAAATTTTCACTTTGTCAGAAAAAAAACCCTCACCCAAAACCAATCGCTTCAGTCCAGTCAAAAGCTTGGCTTACAGTCACCAGCATCTTGTGTGTCTAGTGATTCTGTTTTGCCCATGATTTTGGTGTCTTCATAGGTCTAAGAAATAAAGTTGAGAAATAGACTTTAAGCAAAGTGCCCCAAGTTAAGGAACGAAATGGGTAATTTTGAGGACTGAAAAGACTAGGTTTAGTGCAAATGTTGTGCTTTGGACGTCATGCAGTAAAAGTGAAATGACGTCACGAAGGAGTTTGAGCTTATTGAAAAAGTCGCTATCTAGATAAAACGATAGGCTTCTCCAAGGTTAGTGTGTACCCTATTCATGTTTGAAGGTGACTGGATGGGAAGAGAAGCTCCTTTGCTTCTGAAACATTGGCAGGTGGGAGGCCAGATCAGAACTCAGAAGGGAGGAGGACGGTTCCTCCTGGAAGCCTGTGGGAGAGGCGCAGAAACTTGGGGAAGGCTGCTAGCCAGTACCCCCAGTTGTCTGTATTGTGTAGCTGGAGCACGGTCTCTGAGATGATGTTACAAAGAACTTTATTTTGGATTGTTTCAGCTGGAATCTTCCTTAAACCCCTTTCGTCTTTCCCCGCTCCCCACCGTGCTCCCAGTGTGTTCTCAGGGAGGACTTTCAGAGGCACGTGTAACCTCATCTTGTCCACCTCCGCTGCACCCTGACCGTGTTCTTGTTCTTCTTTTCGCAGCATGTAGTCCTGCCCGAAGACGAGCCAAAAGTACACAGCACATCCTCACAAAGAGTGTAAGAAAAATCTCCCTTTCTCTCTCTCTGTTTTGTTGTTGGTTTTTTTTTTATTTCTAGTTGGCTACACTTATCCCCTTATCCCTAAAAAAGCCGTGGGTGAATGGGAAGCAGACCTTTCAGAGCAAAGAAGTGCATCAGTGTCTGATGCAAGGAGTGGGGCAGGAAACAGAAAGGGGAGTTTCTGTAAAGCTACAGTTTATTTACAGAAGCGCTTGGAAACTACGAAAAATACGGTGTTGCTGTGCAGAGCCAGTCAAAATGAACAGAGCAGCTTATCAACGCGGGTTGTCTGAGGGAATCACAGACTTAATTCTTATCCATAAAGCCTTAATAATAGTGCCAGAGGGACAGGCAGGGATGAAAAGCAAACAAATCATATCAATAAGTGTATGCATTAATCAAGGAGCCATGACCCCATTCCCCAGGGAATTTGGGAGAAAACCACCAAGCAAGGGACTGTAACCATGATTCAAAGAGATGACTCTGAGCGAGCCACAGGAGGATGCTCAGCCCTTGATCCCGGCAATGCTTGCCTGTCCTTGGCTCATCCCCAGTGCATCAGCACAGAGGGCACAGCCGGAGCTTTACCTTCTCCCTGCAGGTGAGGTATCCCCCCACCACATTCCAATAACTGAACATTTTTCATGCTTGGAGAAAATGTTTTCCAAGTTTAGACACTTTGACACGTGGGTGTGAGGTTTCTTGCCTTCAGAGCCATTTTTCTCTCCCTAAATCGACTTGGTCCATTCACAACCCCGTCCACGACCCTTTTATCGCAGTTCTGACTTGCAGTCATGATGGCCTCTTTCTCTTGTGCATAACAAAGCACTTTTTACAAGCTTTGAGATTCTTCTGCCAAAGCATTTCCTTTCACTGCAGACCTGGCTCTTCCCTAGCACTTTGTTGAAGTATTTTGCTCCGTGGCCTTTCCTTATTCCATGCTCTGTCACACTTCCCAGCCCCATCCTCATTTGTAAATAGCCTCCTCTTCCTATTCCCGATTCCCTGCTCTGTCACACTTCCCAGCCCCATCCTCATTTGTAAATAGCCTCCTCTTCCTATTTCTGATTCCCTGCTCTGTCACACTTCCCAGCCCCATCCTCGTTTGTAAATAGCCTCCTCTTCCTATTCCTGATTCCCTGATCTCCCCACAGCACCGTCGGTGCCGTTCCGCCAACCCCACTTACCACACTTACCCGGGCACTGGAAGAAACCTCGCCGCGTTCACTCCCGTCCCCTCTCTTGGTTATTAAAGCAGATCACAGGATCCCAGTACTTCCCAGGATGCCCGAAGTGGTCCCCAGGAAGGGTCAATATCACGCCTGTCATGTTTGGGTAGAAACTATGTACGTGTGTATTTTCTCATATTGTGAAAATCTTATTTTTGTCCCGTAACTCAGGCTGAGGTTTCAAAATGACTCTTCATCCCAAATGAGGATGAAAGTCAGAGTGCCGGAGTGCTACTCAAAATAAGCCATGCTGAGGTACCCTTTTTTTATTTGTTATGCCATTGGTATATTTTATTTTCCCTATAATACAAAAATAGCAGAAAAATCCAAACCAAAAGTGAACTATTCTGACGTAATAAAACAGAATGCTCAGATAGTTTCTCAATTTTTTTTTTTGACAAAACAGATACTTTTCCAACAAAATGCCCAGATGTCTAACCAGCATTTTCTCATAAAACTATTCAGCTGGAAAATTTTCAGTTAGCTCTTATCAAAATCTAGGGCAACTGTATGTCTTGTTATCATGTTCTGAATCTCAGCAGATAGATTGTTGTTGTTTCTGCTAAATGGGAGCCTCTAATATTTAATTTGGATTGGATCATCTGCACTATACTCATAAAGGTCTCAGAACACAAGATAAGAAAGTCCCTGGTTTGTTGCTGTAATTTTAGAGAATTTTTGTTTTCCTTTGGGGCTTTCCTGACCCAAATAAAATATGTCCTTTGATTGGCCCTTAGTCATGATGCAGGCAGCATCATGTTAGCGGTGGGAGCACCCAGCCTGAGGAACGGTCCGCAGCTCCAGTTAAGAAAACAAGCGAGGCTCTCAAACCAAAGCAGCTGGCACAGTCAGCTCGGAGGCTTGTGCATTCCCCTTCTTCGGTATGAGGCGGCCGCTTACAGCTCATGCGCAAGCATTCACACAAATAGTGCGGACTGGAACAGACGTGCCTGTGAGGAAGTTGTGATTGCCAATTTCTAGACCCACGCAAAAGTAGCAGAATGATTATTTCTTTTTCACTTTTACCTCTGCACCTGCAGCCAGTGCTGCAGAAATGCCTCAGCTAACATGAAATCTTCTGCTCTGGTTGATTGCAGTGGATGCACAACTTTAGTCCTCGGCAAGGGCAAAAATAGCAAGCAACGTGGACATCTGCCAGGCTTCTTTTTTTTTTGGTGGCAGTAATACTCAAGCAGTGTAGCATTAAGTGATTTAACATTCAAATGACGGACCTTGGGGGGTAACTTCCCTCACATTCAAGAACCCATGCCAAAAGCACTGTAGAAGGGTGAGAGAATGGGAGAAACACCTTCTTTTTTTTTTTTTTAATTGAGTGTTACACAAATAAGCCTTTTTGCTCTATTAAGAGTTATTTCCAGGGATGGTAGATCCTTCCCTTCACTTCCCTTGCTCTCCCAGCACCAGGATCCTTCAGTTAGAACTCTAAAACCAGTCGGGACACCAGCAGCTGGCTACTGTGCAGAAAAATGGCAAATCCCTCAGTGTCTGCTAGTGCTGCCGCATTAAAAATTAGATCAGTGTTAGACCATCAAAAAGAGCTTAACTCGGCAAATCTGGCATTTCCTCTGCTAACCAGCATTTCATTGTTCAGCCTCTAAGCTTCAGAGTTTTATCCATAGCCAGATGTTTAATTGTCACCTTGTCTGGTTGGTTGTTGGTTTGGCGGTGGGATTTTGGGTTGAGGAGCGCTGGCTGGGTTGCTGGAAGATCCTCTGCACTGCTCTGCAACACTTCTGCGTCCTCCGTGCTTAACACAGCTAATTCCATCACTGGGTATGCCAGGCGGTAAAACCCACAAAAAAGAGGCTTTGCTGAGCTCTGAATTCAGAGTCAGCCTCCTGCAAACAGACTGAGATGGTCAAGAGACTTGCAGGTTCTAAAACCAGTAGTTATTTAGAGAGCAGTTTACGAATTCTGCATAGTTTGGCTGACTCTGCCATTCACACATATTTAAATTCCCAGGTACATCTAGAAAAGAAAAGTGACTGCCAGATGATCCTTCTGCCTTACCCTAGGTACCCTAGAGAAATGTCAGCTCCAGTTTAGATCAAAACTGCACTACAGCAGGTCTATTTTCCTGACCTAGAAAAGTCTTTACATATTAGAGTAATGGGTGAGGTGGTCAAAGTCGCGGTGAAACCTGGAGTTAGGAGAGAAGAATTGTCAGGAATTGGAACTGGCTGCCCAGGGAGGTGGTGGAGTCACCATCCCTGGAGGTGTTCAAAAAACGTGTAGATGTGGCACTTCAGGACATGGTTTAGCAGGCGTGGTGGTGTTGGTGATTTTAGAGGTCTTTTCCAATCTTAACGATTCTAGGTTTCTATAAGAAACTCCAAAAGCGTATCACAGCCAAATGCTGCAAACAAAGGTGTTAACTGAAGATGTGCTGTAGAGATTGCGCTGTTGTCTCCAGCTGTAAGGGAAAATGACATTGCAACTTATTTATACAGATTCTTCTGCTTGGAGGAGTTTTGGCATTACGGATAAGACTTGTTACAAGGAATCTTGAAAACACAGACAATGTGCCTAAATAATTCCCGATATTAATGGAGTTTAAAATCCTGCTTCCCCTCCCCAAACTAAATTTCTTCCTTTGCAGTGCATAGGCAGATTGTTCAGTTTCAATTTTGTGGTGGTTTTACACTGATCAAATAAGCAACTTTCAGGATTAGAGGCGACTGCAGCCAGCATCCTACTTACCAGAAATGCTCTTTCCATGACCATGGGAAAGAAGTGACCTCAGGTGTCTCCGTAGCAGAGGGTTGCAGACATTTTCTGTCGCACACCAAAGACTGAGTGCGACCAAGCACTGCGCGTATGTCCATAGCTGGGGGGGAAGGCGAGCTTTGTAGCCTTCTTCGATAGCTAGAAGAGCTCGGTTCATGTGAGGCAGACTCCAAGGGCTGTCCTGAGACCCCTGCCAGCCACAGCCTCGTCGTATTCATAACGAAGACAGGAGTCTCCACTGACGTCACTGTGGTGATGGGGGGTAACGATGCCTCTGGTAAGCGGCTTGCAGGGTTCGGGTGGTCAGGGCAATGACGCAGAGGGCTGCACACCGTTGCGTGGGCACGGGAGCCTGCAGCCTGCGAAGAGCTGCTACAGAGGGATGAGGAGGTCTTGGACCTGGTCCAGGGGCAGCTGGGAGAGAGCCAGTGCCAGCTGCTGAAGCCTCCCACCACCCTCATTTCTGAATTACTGGAGTGATGCTGAGGCTCGGCTCTGTACAGCAGCGCCGGATTCATGGTCAGTAGAGCTGGGCCTCAGCTGCAGCCTCCCTTGGCACGTGCTTGTCTTCAAGGACACCAGTAGTCCCTTTGACTTTAACCTGACACTGGGCACATCCTTAAGCAGCTTACGGAGCAGGGACTGTGTTAGGCTGTGAGCCAAAATCCACAGACCTAAGAGAAACCCCCTCTCAGGTCTTGGATTAGGCTTTGGTTACCTCACCAGCTCTTTCCAGCAGTATTTTTGCCTGCTGTTGGGCAGCTTCTTCTCCTTGTCCTGCTGATTAGTAGAGTCCAAGTCATGTAGCCTTCTCCAGACTGCTGAGGGTACATGGAGTCAAAAGAGTTAAAAGTGGCCAGGTTGGGGTTTTTCTTTTTCCTGTTTTGGAAGACATTGATCTGCATGTGTGTTTATGTCTGTGTAAAAATTCACATGCACAGAATATTGCAGAGTAATGGCAAACTGAATTAAAACTAATTTAAAGAAAATGGACAATTCTGCGTGAGGCGACATGCTTGAATGTGGTCTTGTTTTTATCTTGAGTGTATGTTAGAAGGCAGAGCAATAGATGGAACTAAGGTTTTTTCTATGCCAATAGCGGGCTGGTCAGTTGCTGGTCTCAGTCTTGAGACAAAATAACTGTATTTATGTATAAAACACGTAGATGGCAATGATCAGTCATCAATTAGATGCAAGTAACTGCTTTTCTCCTGATCTTCCAACATGAGATTGACAGAAGTAAGTCTAATAGGAAACAGTTGGAATAGTTGCCACATATCTTGTTTCCTTGCTGGTTTGGATCTTTGCCCTGTTTAACTTCTCCTCTGTATGGCAGTAGCAAGTCTTCAGGGAAGAAAGGAAAATCCA